TTATTCAGCGGGGAGGAGCGTGCAGGACACAATAGCCCTGGGGGAGATGTTTGCAGGGGCTAGGGAGCACCGGCGTGACCTATGCGGGAGGAGGGAGAGGAGGACTCCGGCACAGACCCAAGTTTCGCCTTTCCTCTCTCCCGGTAACTCTTTGCGGAGACCGCCTAAGAAACGGAGAACACAGGGCCAACCCCAACCCTCCACGCCCCCTTTGTTTGGGACTGGAGAGCGCAGGCGCAAAAGAGGTGGGCGGCGTGGGGAGAAGGCGCCGGTTGGCGAAGCGAGAAGCGCAGGCGCTGCGGTTCTCCGATAGGGACGCGAGCCGTAGTTGGACTTCAGCACGCAAGCGCAGCAGGTCCAGGCCAGGGGCGCGCGCCGCTGCAGGACGCAGCACGCAGGTGCGATCCTCCCTACTAAGGGCAAGCTCCAGCCCGGCACCAGTGCGCAGGCGTCTCACTGGGAGCGGAACCCGAGAGGCGGGCCCCGGATTTCCGGTTTCGGGGGCAACGAACGGCCGCGGCGGCGACAGCTACCGTTTCAGAGGAAGCGGCTGTAGAGGAGGAAGAAGAAGACCCCAGCAAGGCGGGAGTCACAGGCGGGACCCTCGTCATGGGTCCACGGACCTAGAACAGAGGAAGCTACCGGCCCGGTGCCGAGCTGGTGAGACAGTCCTGGGGGTGGAAGTGGAGAGCGCTCAGGCGGAGGATGGGGAAGAATTGAGGCTTAGAACATTGACGGAGAGGGCCCTCAGGCCGATGAGTGGGAGGAATGGCGGCGTCGAATATTGAAGGAGAGGAATGGGTAGATTTAGGCGGAGGACGGAGAGAAATGGGGCTCAGAAAGCTGACAGTGGAAGTGTCGAGATCCTGGACGAGGACGGAGAGAAATGGGGGAGGATCCGAGCGCTGAGGGGAGACATCGGGGCCTCTCAAGTTAGGGCGAGAGAAACGGGTGTTCAGAACCCTGGGAGGGATAAATGAGGGGCCCTCAGGCTGATGATGGAGAGAAATGGGGCCGCTGGGATACTGAAAAGGAGGGCCAGGGGGCTCCTATGGAAGACTAGGAGAAATAGGGGAACAGAATACCGACAGGGATGGCATGGTTCTGGGACGAGAGCAGAGAGGAATGAGGGGTTTAGAATGCAGAGAGGAGAAATCAGGGTCTTTCAGGCTGATGAGCAAATGGAAGATAAGGCCGCTGAAGGGAAGGAGTGAGAGAACTTTTACACTGCAGAGGAGAGGAATAGGGAGGTTCGGGGCTGAGATTGGGCAGGAATTGTGGTTCAGAACATTGACAGAGAGAAAATAAGTGAGGAGGATTTCAGGCTGAGAAACAGAAGGAATGAGGGACCGTTCAGGTCAGGGACATGGAGGGGTTGGGGACAATGGCAGAGGACACAGAGGAAATTGAGGCAGTAACACCGAGGTAACAGAATTAAAGGATATCAGACAGGGAAGGAGTGGGAGGGTTAAAAGACTGAAAGAGAAATTGGGGACTCCTGGGTCAAGGAAAGGGATGAATGGGAATCAGAACACTGACAGAGTGCGGAGCCCTTGGTCTGAGGATGAGCGGAATGGGGGTCTCTTGGGCTGAAGATGGGAAGAATGAGGCCTCTCAGGCTGAGGATGGGGAATATGGAGGTCTCTGTGACAGAGGGGAGGAACAGAAGACCAATAGGTCAAAGACAGAGAATGTCTCCTGGACGAAGGACAGGCAGAAAGGAGCGGGGAAAGTGAAATGTTCCTGGGTGGCAGTGGAGAGAAATGATGGGCTCCGAGGCTGAGGATGGAGAGGAATAGGAGATCAGGACACTGAGAATGAGGAATGAGGACCCTCGGGTTGAGGACGGGGCTGCCAGGTCAAGAGGGTGAGTGAGGAATGTCAAGCTCCTGGGCCCAGGCCAGGGAAGAATTGGGTGGGAATGGTTTTCTCTTCCTTACATTGGCCAGTTGCTTGTGACAGTTTCCGGGTCTTGGACAAATATTAATAGATACCATGGTTTGCATGGCCTGGTGCACAACATGTCACCTCTTAAAGCCTCAGTTTCTCACCTTGCCCTCTCCATGTTGCAGGCCACTGCTCCTTCCTTTGGCCCCCATGGCTGAGGAGTGGCTGGACTGCCCAGCCCTGGGCCCCGGCTGGAAGCGCCGTGAGGTTTTTCGCAAGTCAGGTGCCACCTGCGGACGCTCAGACACCTATTACCAGAGGTACTGGGTGGGTTGTGGGCAGAATCAGGGGTAGGATTGAGCCTGGTTAGGCAGAGTGAAATCAGAGTGTGGTTAAATTTATGAGTGGGGCTAAAATTATGCATATACAGTTGATTCTCATTATTTGCAGATTCTGTATTTGCAAACTCACTGAAATTTGTTTATACCCCCAAAGTCATTACTCAGCTGTGCTTTCACGGTCATTCGTGGACATGCACAGAGCAGCAAAAAAATTTACGTCCCCCGATGCACACATTCTCAGCTGAAGTTGAACAAGGCTTTCTTATTTCAGCACTTGTACTGTCAACAAGTCTGTTTCATGGTCTACTTAGTGCTATAGTTTTCAAAGTTTTGTACTTTTTATGGGTGATTTTGCTGTTTACAATGGCCCCCAAGTGTAGTGCTAAGTGCTATCTAGTGTTTTAAGTGCAAGAAGTGTGTGATGTGCTGGGAAGGAGAAGATACATGTTAACTAAGCTTCATTTAGGTGTAAGTTGTAGTGCTGTTGGCTGTGAGTTTAGTCTTAATGAATCAAAAATGTGGTACATCTAGAATAGGAGAGGAAATTTGCCAGTTTGTACATGTGGCTGCTCCAGAAAGTGCTAAAGTAACATCTGTAGTACATGATGAACCTAGGGAAAAGGTGGAAAAGTGGCTAAATTTGTGGATCCACGAGATAATGACCAATAAAGTGTAGTGGACAGCACTGTGAGGCTCAAAGCCAAGGACATCGATAGTTATGTTACCCAGGATTAAAAAAATGTTAAACCTATTGCAGGTAGCGTTGGCTGTCTCACACCTTTCAGGGCAAGTTCTGCAAATCAAGAATCTGCAGAATATTTTAAAAAATATCTGCTCAGTGCTACACCGGAAAACCGTTAGGTAGAAGAGTACATTTTCAGTGGTGATGAGACTGGCTTGTTTTACAAAGGCATTGGCAATACTATATAATGCAGATGTCCTCCAAAACTCCTGGCTTTAAAAAAGCCATGCAGTTAATTATTTGTAAGAAGAATATATTAAATAGGCTATCTTTAAACAGAAACACATAAAACAAGGTTACGTAGGATTAGTTTACAAAAATGTGACTAGAGACTTGGAGGAACCTAACCTGTAGTTCCACTAGGAGCAGTGGTTCTATATTCACTAATTCAGTTTTCCAGATGACTACCATAAATAATGAAATTTGACCATAAATACATAAACATACACTTTTATAAATTTAAGGTGTTTTAAGATATGTTAATGATATACTAGTTATTAAATTTTCTATACTTCTGAACTTTTTTTGGTGCCCAAGTTGCTCTTTTCCTGGAGCATTATAATAAAATTACAAATGCAGTTACATTTATTCATATTTAGTTGTACATTTATTCACATATTTACAACTTGTATAAAACTTTTAACATTTATAAATATAAGTTCAGTTATCAAGAATGTAAAAGATCAGAGGTTTTACCCTAATTAATTAGGTCAAGATAACAAGTATGTCACAGTTTTGTGGATGCTGATAGAAGAAAAGAGACTCCTGGGTCAGAGATGAAAGACAGTTTATTACACATAGCAAGAACAATATTTAGAATCATTATTTTTGTTCCAGTTTCCCAAATGCCAATTCCTACAGGGTCACATGAAGAGGACTAACTAGCGCCTGCACATGCACTGAGTTGTGTTGTAGGAAAGGAACCCCAAGCTTAAGGAATCTAATCTTTTATAATGTTAGGACAGTAAGGATGTCTTCCTTTTGCTTTGGAGGGAGACCCTTTCTCTTATCTTCCAAGGTTGTTTGCTGTACAAACATCCTCGAAAAGATAGTAGCAAAGGACAGTCAGTGCTTCTCTTACAAGACATGCAGAAATGCAAGAGACCTGTGGAGTGTTGTCTCCCAACATTACTTTCACTTTATTTTGTATGTAGTTACATTTGTTGTTCACACGTTTCCTTGTATGTATACTTATATGTACATTTTTATACGCCTATTTTTAAACATTTGTTTTTATGTAAGTTCTTTAATTTGTATACTTAGTATGCAGTGCTAACACATTTACAAATTATTTAACATATTTATATTGTCATTTATATAGAATACCTCTAGTAATATATGTTAGAAATATATGTACATTCCTTTGTGTTTATATTATTTGTTAATGTGTATGTATTTGCTGGTATTATAATATTTAGTAATACTACCTTTAAAGAGTCTTGCTATCCAGGGTTAGTTGGGGTAGGGCCAGGTCAGGGCTCATAGGCAGATAGATCCCAGGCTGCCTCCCATATCCCACCAGACCTTCAAGCCTGTTCCCTAGCCCAGTGAGAGGGTTGCGTGGGTGGAGTGGCAATGGCTCCACCTGGGTTCCAATCCATCCTGGCCTACCCCCAGCCCCACAGGAGATAGGATCCGAAGCAAAGTTGAACTGACCCGATACCTGGGCCCTTCGTGCGACCTCTCCCTCTTCGACTTCAAGCAAGGCATCCTGTGCTATCCAGCCCCCAAGGTAAGGTACTACACAATGTAGGGTACCCGGGCATGGGGCGACTGAGCCACCTAACACCCATCCACTGACCTACATTCTTTCTGCCCTTGTTCTCATCTCTAGGCCCATTCCTTGGCTCTCCCTAGCAGAAAGCGGAAGAAGCCTTCAAAGCCAGTCAAAGCTCGAAAATGTCAGGTTGGATCCCAGAGGGCTGAGGTCAGGAAGGAGGCCCCAGGGGATGAGACCAAGGCTGGTGCTGACACAGTCCCAGCTTCGCTCCCTGCGCCTGGGTGAGTATTAGCCTAAAGTGAGCCAAGTGGGTGAGGGTTGTGGTTGGGCATGCACTCAGGTCCCCACACTCATGTTTCCCATCCCAGATATTGTGAGAACTGTGGAATCAGCTTCTCAGGGGATGGTACCCGAAGGCAGCGGCTCAAGACATTGTGCAAGGACTGCCGAGGTGAGTGGCCCTTAGGGCAGTGGGAGATAGGAGCTGGAGCAGGCCTGGTGTCAGGCTAGGACCTGGGTGTCAGGCTAGGACCTGGGTGTCAGGCTAGAGGTTGAATGGTGAATGTCAGGGCAGAGGCAGTGGATGAGGTCAGATATCTGATCCTCCCTTTCCACTTCTGTTGTTACTTCTCCTTTTCCGCAGCGCAGAGAATTGCTTTCAATCGGGAGCAGAGGATGTTTAAGGTAAGCATGACCGGCTACCTCCCCACAAGTGTACGATGGGAGCAGGATGTGATGGGGGCTAGTAAATGGTGATGGATTTCAAGGTATCAGAGTCATTTTGTAGGGAGCTGGTTGCAGTCAGCAGAAGGTAATGGGAGTTAATGGGGTATTAGACAGTGAAGAGTGGACCAGTAGACAGTGGTGGCGCCTAATCAGTAGTCATTAGATGCAGTGGTGAGGCAAATGGAGAACTAGCAGTTATGGTGATGGGAGCTAATGTAGAGGGTTAGCAGACACTTGAGGGTTAGTGCTCCTGGATTCACTCTGCTTGGGTCTTTGACTTTGCCTCACTCATTCCTGGCAGCGTGTGGGCTGCGGGGAGTGTGCAGCCTGCCAGGTGACCGAGGACTGCGGGGCCTGCTCTACCTGCCTTCTGCAGCTGCCCCATGATGTGGCCTCGGGGCTGTTCTGCAAGTGTGAGCGGAGACGATGCCTCCGGATTGTGGAAAAGGTGAGTTGGGCAGGTGGGATGGGACCAAGGTTCACCCTAGCCTGTGGCCCTCATAGCCCTGGCCCCATGCATCATGCCTCTGTCCCCCTCCCCCGCCAGAGCCGAGGGTGTGGAGTATGCCGGGGCTGTCAGACCCGAGAGGACTGTGGACGTTGCCGAGTCTGCCTTCGCCCTCCCCGCCCTGGTCTCAGGCGCCAGTGGAGGTGCGTCCAGAGGCGCTGTCTACGGGTGAGTTAGGCTGGAGGGGGACAGTGCTGGTGGAGCCAGGGCTGGGGCAGAGCTCATTCTGCTGTTAAACTTGCTGCTGCTGCTTCCTCCCAACCTGGCCTTGTCCACCTCATGTCTTCTTTTCTCCTCCACCGCACGCTCACGTCCCTGGCCTTACCTGCCTGCCCCTGTCTGCCAGCACCTTGCCCACCGCCTCCGTCGCCACCATCAGCGATGTCAACGACGCCCTCCCTTAGCTGTGGCTCCCCCTGCTGTGAGTGCCCCATCTTATACTCTGCTTGTCTGTCCCGTGCATGCTTTCTGCACTCCTGGGTCGGGAGGGTCCTGTGTCGGTCTGGTGCCACCAAGCCTAAACTACCCTTTTGGCTTCCTCCTAGGGTAAACGTGGCCGTCTCAGGGGAGGCTGTGACTCCAAGATGGCTGCCCGGCGGCGTCCCCGAACCCAGCCACTGCCTCCGCTTCCTCCATCACAGCCTCCAGAGTCCCCAGAGCTGGTGAGGCCTTAGTGGGCAGGGGGAAGGCACAACCCCCTAATTTTACCCAATACCTACCCTGACCCCACCCCATTTGCCTCTGCAGCACCCCAGATCTCTCATCCCCTCGCCACCTGCCGAATTCATCTATTACTGTGTAGACGAGGACGAGCTAGTGAGTGGCCCCATCCTACCTGGACAAGCCTAGACTTTCCCAGGGTACTTGGTTAAGCCCAAAGAAGCAGTTGCTGCAATGGGCTTAATAGAGGAAGAGCAAGGCATAGTAATGGGTACTAGTATGGGAGAGCAGACAGTTGGGGAGGGACTAATACAGGAGCAACAGGTGGACCGATAGTACGTAATATCGGATGAACCAATACTAATGGGGCAGAAAGAGGAAAAGTAGGTAAGTGATTGGAGTTCATATAGGATGAGTAGATGTAGCAGGTGCAGTGATGGCAGCTAATACAGGGTCAGCAAAATCCCGCTGGAGGCGGGGGTGTCAAGGACATTGTTTTGGTAGCTCGACAGAGTGATGGATACTGTGATGGAGCAGCCAGTCTCAATGGCTTGAAGGGCATCTGGTACAATGATAGTGCTAGCAGACACTGAGGTGTGACTAGTGGGAGTCAGGCTAAGACTAGTGTTCAACCAGTTCCCTCTGACGGAGCTAGTAGAGGAACAACAGGAACAGTACTGTAATAGTCCTAATGACAGCATCCCGCATTTTCACTGTCTCCCAGCAGCCTTACACAAATCGCCGGCAAAATCGCAAGTGTGGGGCCTGTGCAGCTTGCCTGCGGCGGATGGACTGTGGCCACTGCGACTTCTGCTGTGACAAGCCCAAATTCGGGGGCAGCAACCAGAAGCGCCAGAAGTGTCGTTGGCGCCAATGCCTGCAGTTTGCCATGGTGTGTGGGGCAGGAAGGGTCAGGTGGGTGGGAAAAGTTGAGCCAAGTCCCTCAGTGCCTGGGAATAGTGGGCAGGCCTGGTAGGTTGGTGGATCAGGCCAGATGGGTCCTCTAGCTTCAGAGGGGTGGGTAGGGCAATGAGTTTGGCCAAGGATTAGCAGACATTGTGCTGGGGTAAATGAGGAATCTGGGTGGCATTGGCATTGCTAACAGGAGACTAGCAGGGTCAGCAATGAGGGGTTCGTATGTAAGCAGATTTTGTGTTGGTGCTAATGGAGGATCAGCAGGCATATTGATCAGGGCAGTGTGGTGTGGTTGGGTATTGCATCAGGTGGCCAACCATTTCACCTTTCTTCACAGAAGCGCCTGCTGCCAAGTGTCTGGGCAGGGTCTGAGGATGGGGCAGAGCCACCCCCACCTTACCCTCGTCGAAAGAGGCCTGGTTCTACTCGACGGCCCCGTCTTGGCCATACCCTGAAGCCCCCCTTGGCCACGCCCAGAGCCCGATCTGATCATGCCCATACTCCAATGAAGCAGGAAGCAGGCTTTGTGTTGCCCCCACCTGGCACTGACCTTGTGTTCTTACGGGAGGGTGCAAGCAGTCCTGTGCAGGTGCCTGGCCCTGCCTCAACTTCCACAGAAGTCCTTTTGCAGGTGAGGGCCCCACCTTATTCTCTTCTTCCCAAGCCTACCCAGCCTTGTACCAGGAAGCTGGGACCAAGTCTACTGCAATCCTCCTTCACACAGGAGGCCCAGTGCCCTGGCCTGAGTTGGGTTGTGGCCTTACCCCAGGTGAAGCAAGAGAAGGCGGATGCCCAGGAAGACTGGACACCGGGCACAGCCATCCTGACTTCTCCTGTATTGCTGCCTGGCTGCCCCAGCAAGGTGGGGGTCAGTGATGGGTGATCTGTGAGCAGAGTGATGGTGAGCCAAGATGGTGGTTCTTTGAGCAGAGTAATAGGTGTGCTGATTGCAGCCTCTCCACAGAATTACCCCACCTTCCCCAGGCAATTAGCTTTGCCGGCTTTGCCGCCCAGCTAACAGAAAAATGGAAATCTGAGGAATGGGAAAGGTTTGTAGACAGACGGTTTTTCTGTGCTGAAGTGTGACAGAAGCAAGATCTGTCAGCACAGTGACTGGTTGGCTAATAAAAAACTCTTCCCTCAGGCCAACCCTGCTTTTCTGACTGTTGCCCATTTCCTACCTCTCCCAGGTAGTAGGCCCAGGCCTGCCACTTGTAAAGCAAGAGCCACTTGACCCTGAGGAGGACAAAGAGGAGAAGAGCAAGGATGACTCAGCCTCTGATTCGGCCCCAGAAGAGGAGGCAGCAGGGGCTGGCACACCAGTGGTCAGTGCTGGGGGACACCTCACCCTGCCCTGACCTTGCTTTAGCTCTACCGGCCATGTTGACCCATGATGTTAATTCTTCCCCAGATCACCGAGATTTTCAGCCTGGGTGGAACCCGCCTCCGGGACACAGCAGTCTGGTTGCCAAGGTGTGCCCCACACAGTGAGGGGTGGGGATGTGGGTGCTGGTCAGATGTGGGCCCTGAGCTTTGAAAGTTTAGCCAGCAATTTGGCATGGTGTAGTGGGAGGTAAAGGCCCCACACCACTGCTGCTCACGCTCAGTAAGGAGGTATGTATATGACCCGAGAGATTTCCAGAGATCCAGGTCAGGACTGTCCTTGGTTGGGAGTGGTGGGGATGAGGGACTGTTGAGGGAGAGGACTTGGTGCCTTGTGATGAGATAAGAAAGAAAAGGGAAGGAAAGCTTGGTTCCCATTTTCCTAAGAAAAACCAGCAGGTGTCAGACTTAACATATAAGTTCTTACTCAGAGAATCATCATTTGGGGTCTTGAATACCTTTGGAGTCTCTAAGAGATGACCAGATGGCGAGTGGGCAGGAGATCTGGGTTCACATGCAACTGTGTGATCTTGGTCTAGTTCTGTACCTTTTGGAGAATCCTCTGTGGAGGGGGTTAGGCTGTGTTTCTTGAGCCTTTCCTGATCCTGTTGAGGTTTTAACAGTTTCAGCTGCTGTGCAGAACTTTCCATGTAGACTTGGCAATAGAATGAAGGCTAGGTGCCTGTAAAGAGTGGGATAGTGGAAGGAGGAGAGGAGAATGCTGCTTCCTGCAGAAGTTGATGCCCTACACAGAGCACCAGACATAGGCAACAAACTATTGGCCTCAGCACCTCGGTTTGGTCCTACAAACTAGTTTCTGTAGGCCAGAAACCCCTCCGTCAGCACTTGGGTAATTACAGAGGTACTGATTCAGTCCCTGCTGGATGCACTGCTGTGTGGGAGATACAGCAGTGAATACATTGACTGGGGAAGGCTTATCCTTCAGGAGACAGAGGACTTCAGCCTTCAGAGAGCTTATAATCTAACTGGGGAAACAGTTTCCCTGTGCTTGAAATCATTACATATAAAGGAGAAGTAATGATGTGCTATGTTGTAATGGAAAATTTTAGGAGCTAAGGAATAATTAAGGGAAAATGGATGGCCAACAGAACAGTAGGAAACGGTTTTGTGATGCTCCATTTTTCACATAGTGAACCTCATTCAACATAAAGACCTGCTCCCTCTTCTCTAGGTCCAAGGACCTTAAAAAAACCTGGAACTAGAAAGCAGTAGACTGGAGGCTTCTGCAGACTAGGATTCAAGGTGATATTTACAGACTGGTGTTATGAGAGACAACACTGATCTACTCAGAGGCTGGACCGTAGAGCGATTGCCAGGGCTTGTATAGGAGTCAGTAGGAACTGGAAAAACCTATCGCCAAACCAGAGGAGCAGGCCCGTTCAGTACTTCGAGTTTATGGAGGATGTAAGCAGAAAAGGAAGAGAAAGAGTAGAAAGTTGGAGCATCTGCTCCAACTCGTGCAAATCCTAGGAGCCTAAGCATGTTAAGAAGTTTGGATGTTAGGGGTGGAGAAGTTGGTGTTGGAAGATAGAATTAGAGCTCCCATAAACAACCTAAACAAGCCATCTTCATAAATAATATTAAATGGCTTTTGGGTGAGACCTAGCAGTGTCTCTAAATAATTCCTCAGGGAGACAGCAGTTGAAAATGTATCGTGAATAAGGAAAGGAATTGGTATTTGGTGAGTTCTTCCGTATGGACTCAATGTAGAACAGGTTTTTTTTTTTTTAGGAAGACTTTGATTTTACCCATTTTTGCAGATGGGAAAACAGACTCAAATAACTTGTCCAGTGTCAAATACCTAGAATTGATGGAGTCTAGAATCAAACCCAGGTTGTAAAGCCTTGTATTTTAAGCCACTAAGCCGTAAACTGTAATCCTATATTCAATAATGTATAATAACGTAGTATCAGAAGTTTCCAGTGATCCTGAAAACAAGGTGTACTACTTTAAGCATTTTAACAAATCTCTTTCATTATTGCCTTTAGCACGGTTTAAGGAGTGCCAGGGTTGTGGATGGGGTCATCTTATTAGAGCTTCTGTGCATTCAGAGACTGGGTTCTTTCCAGGCCTCGGATGTTACATAGGATTCCTCAAACCCTAAAGGGCATCCTTTTCCACCGGCTGCTCTCCATTTTGCTTATTTCCCTCACTTCCCCTCCTTAGCCAAAGCAGTCCTCAGAGGTAAAGCTGCCAGCGTGGTTCATCTTTCCCGACAGCTTGTGTCCCCTGCCCCTTGATAACCTTCGTGCTTGGTTTCTGCTCTCAGCCCCTGTTAAGGACCAGTTTTGGCTCTGCCCTGCCTCACTTTTCAATTCTTTGCTCAGTGCTAAAAGTGATAAGACTTGTGAGTGATTCATTACTTAGCCAGCTTTACAAGGCTGGGACTAAGTGTGTGCCTTCTCAGATTTTGTAGTCTATGTGCCTCCATTGCCTTGCTCTAGTTCCAGCCCTGCAACTTTATTTACGTAATTCAGATGTAGATTAGCCATTTTACTACTGTAACTCATGATAAAGCCTTCTGCCACCCTCCTCTGCCCCTTTCTTTGCCTCACTCTACCTACTTAAGCCAGAATTGACTGGATTATTATCTGTTACTGTTTTGCTCCCCTCAGAATGCAACCACCAACCCTAGTATTCTGGTAATTTTGATAGTGATGTCCTAAGTGAAAGTTATTTGATTAGTATCCTGACTCACCATGTGTATCAGGGTACAATTAGAAAAGCAACACCATTGATATAAAGATTTTATGTATATGTGTATATGTACATTAAGGGATATTATAGGGATTTGACCATATGCAGTTGTGGGAGCTGGTTAAACAGTCTGTAAGGCTGTTGTCTTTGCATCTAATGCTGGAGCTTGAAGTCTGCAGGGCAGGCAATCGAGGAAGGAAGGTGGACGTAAAGCGTGGGAGACGGAGGACACATTGGCGCCCACAAGCACACGATGGAACCGCCGAGGATGGCCCAGAACCCACGTCAGTCTCTCATCACGTCCAGCTTCGATGATGTTGGTGTCCTGCAGAAGAAGCTGGTGCCCTTCACCACAGAGTTAAATACGCATCTGGCCTAGGAATTAGAGAAGCTGAGGGAAGATCCTGGGGAAGATGGAGCAACTGCAAGCCTGGCTGCTGCCCCACACCAAGGAGGCGAGCCAGCAGATAAATGACAGCGTGTGTGAACTGCAACAGTACCTGGTGCCCCTGTATCAACCTTTCAAGTGTAAAAACAATATGCTGCTGCTTCACTTCTGTCCTCCAGTTATCATGTAAAATGTTTCTTGTGGCCCATCTTAACCAGAAGCATGGGAAGGGAGTCCTGGGAAACAAGACTAGTCAAGGTGTCACATTACAAAGCCAGCCATGAATCAGCTCCCAAGGGTCTCGCTACTCACCCGAGGATACCTTGATAAACCTACATTGCAGGAAATGCAAAGCTGAAGACCATGGATTTCATGGTGACTCCAGCAAGTACAGAAATTCTGTCAAGCCCACCCAGTAAAAATGCTGGTCTTGGCTCTTTTTGTTTTTCATTCAAGTATTGAGAACCTGGCCCATGGTAGGCACTGAACTTAATACTGGGATACAGCAATGAGAAAGATATAGTCCATGCAATTTTATTAAATACATCAATCTGTATTACCAATGGTGAATCGATATCCAACTTTATCATGGAGTTTAATGGTGAAAATATAGAATTCAGGAAACTATCTGGAGGACAGCCCTTGTGTGAACCTTGTTGGGCACAATAGGAATTGGAAATAATATAAATAGTTTCTGTCTCTAAGCTGTTCTATTTTAAAATTATTTTTAAATGATTTTTATTGTCCCATTTTCTGATTCATATATTTAGTGTTTCTTTTGGGAATGTCTTGGTGATGGTAACAGTGTTGACTGCCTCTGAGAAAGTGGGATAGCGGGTGGCAAGATAAAGGTCAGGTTCTAAGGACCTTGGGCAGGTCACTTAGGCCTCAGGGGTTGGCCTTGGTTTGGCTGAAGGCCCAGGCTCACTGCGCTGGGCGTGGAGCCCGGCCCTTCTGCTCTCCGAATAGGCCCACCAGGGGGCGCTGGGACCGCGGTTATCCTACCCGGGGTCGGGAGACACTGCCCATCACCCCTGGCCTAGCCTGGGTGGCTCAGGGGTGTGGCCTCCGCTTGGCCCAGCTGTCTATTCCTGCGCCGGCCCGAAGGGAAGTCGACTCCCCTTCACGTACTGGTAAAATGGGCAAACCAAACTGGAGTTAAGTTACGGGGCTTGCCCAGGGTGAGGGCGCGTCACGACAAGCTCAGGATGGACCTAGAGGGCAGCCCGTTGTCACCAAAGGGCAACTCGCGTCGCAGAAACTGATTTCGATGGGACCTTCCAGGCTGTACGACCTCAGCGTTGCCCTAAGGGTGCCCCTGGATCTCAGCGGCTTTCCCCAAATCCCGTGGCTGGTTGAGAGCGTTTTCACTGCTTCCTTTCCTCCCCAAGGGTATGGTGTCTGGGGTGGTTCCACCTAGACAGCCGGTGGGCCAGGCACCCGTGGGACTCGAAGATCAAGGAATCTGGCCCTCAGGACTCCGTCCAGAGAACCCAGATGACGATCTAATTTCTTTCTTTGTTTGTTTGTTTCAGGCTACATAAACTCTTAGCAGTAAATGAAAATGAGTATTTTACTGAACTGCAATTGAAAGAAGAAGCATTATAGGAGAAAAAAGACAAAATGAGAATTATTAAAAGAGATTATTAAAAGAGAAGAAAGAGACATTATTTTGTGGCTGAAAAGCTGAACCAGCATTCAGGAAATGGAATCCAAATCTAGAAACATACCATATAGAAAATCTGAAGTGGGTGAATTACAAATGATTAAGGAATGCTAATTTACAGTAAATTGCGGCCTTAAGATGGTGTGCACAGTAGTTGTCCTTTGGTTATTGTTACAAGACAATGACTAGGTACTGAATTTCCTCTGTGCTCTCTATATATTTTGGTGTTATATGCTCACCCCCACTTTAGAATGAGAGTACCAAAGTGTCATTCACAACTGGCTTTTAGGTGTTAACTACTACCTTGCTCTTGGCTGGAAGTACAGAGGTGGTCTCCATCTGTGCTGAGGGCCCCTTCTAGGTTCCCTGCCTGGGATCCAGATTCTCAGGGCCTGATTACCTGCACTTCTGATTCACATGTCCTGACCCTGGTCCACTGTGACCCTTGGTTTTTATTGTGCTCAGCCAGTCATGTCACTGCACTACTAGCCCATCTGATCACCTCGATCATAGGGTACCTGGAGTCTAAGCCCTGGTTTATGCCCAGTGCAATAAGTTTTTATTAATAACAGGTTTATCATTATTGGTTGGGTAGACAAGGCAGCTAGGCTCCTTCAGCCTTGTCTTAGCTGTAATATGAGGATAATACCTGCTGTACCATCAACTCGATATTTGTGACTCTCAAACGTTTATGTGTGAAAATACCTTGCAAATTGCTGTAAAGAACTACACAAATAGAAGGTTGTCCTGTGGTGATTTACGTAAAGATTAACCTAGAGATGACCACGAAATTAAACCTTGCCACGATATGTCCACTAATCTTTCTCATGCATTTAGACCGACTACAGGATATAAATAGCACAGTCAATTGGAATATAATTAGATCTTCGACTTCACCGCTGGTAAAGGAGGCTTTTTTCCTGCTATTCTGACGAACTCTGGAGGAAGGGGGAGAGGTCGGCAGGAGGCCTGGCAAGGGCGGGGTGAAGACCGCGCAGTCTCAGCTCTTCCGCTCCAAGAGGAAGTTGTGAGTGCCGGCGTCGATGGTCACCATGGTGACGGGACCAACTTCCGTCCACTCACCGGGCGGTATCTCAGCTGCACGGACCCTGGCAACCAGACTTCTGTGTTGCGGAAGCTGGTCCTGTAGGTCGCTGAGGTTCGGTAACTGCGGTGGAGGCCGCCCCCATCCTAAGGGACGCGAAAATGTACAGCCAGCGGTTTGGCATCGTACAGCGGGAGGTTAAGGGTCCCACTCCCAAAGTGGTGATTGTGGTAAGCACGGAATGTGTGTGTGGGACCCTACCGCTTTCTGCACTTGCCGTCACTCCAGGCCCAGCTGATCTCAACCTGGCCCTCAGCCCGAGCTCTCAAGGGAAGCAAATGCCTGATGGGTTAAATTTTGAAAGAAGGAAGGATAAGGTCGCTCACCTAACTAAGCTCCCGTACTCCGTCCCTCCCCCACCCCATCCAATCTCTTGCGTCAGTTACAATATTTAGATTCGGTACTTGGAGAATCACCACTTGGGATCTTGAGGGTTTTCAGTCTCCAAGACACCCAAAGGTGGTCGGGCCCTTGTGACGTGGAATGTGTGTCATAGAAAGGGCGCTGGGCCAGGCAGCAGGAAATCTGGAGTCCGGGTTGGCCATGATTCAGCTTTATGATCTTGGGCATATGCCTCATCCTGGGAAAATTGTCTGGGCTGTGAGGGGTGGTGAGTGGCTATAGAGCCCCTCCTGTGCGAATTCAACTGTAACAGAAGTATCCCTGTAGGCGTGGATGGAAATAGGACCATTTGTTGCCTATAAGGCTGGGGTGATGGTGAGACACTGGGGGAGTGCTGCCTACTGCAGAATTTTATGGGTCCTGCTCAGAACCCCAGACACTTGGTCCATGCACCTGGATTCCTTTGTTTCTACAGACTAGAAAGTATGTGTAATTGGGCAATAACGGTATTATTACTTGAGTACCTGCTGTGTTCACTGCACTGTGGGAGATACAAGGGTGAATACAATGACCCTGGGAGGTCCACCCTTCTGTGGAAGTCTGATCCCTGCCTCAAGTTGCTCGTCATCTAATTGTAGAAACAACTTGCTCACGCACAGAACCATTGAAGGTTAACAGTGGGTAATGATGTGCTGTTTTGTCTGTGATGACACTTTATGAAAGATCAGAAATAATGAAGGATACTCTTTTATGCTCCATGGTGCACATAGCAATTCTCTATAGACCTACTCCCTCTTCTTTATGTCCAAGGACTGTAGGATCTGAGTCTGTAAATAAGTACAATGGAAGCTTCTATACAGACTGTAGGGTTCAAGGTGATAATTACAGACATCGTAAGGGACAGAAACTGATCTACTTAAGTTCAGTATCCAAACACAGAGCTCAGGGGGCTGGTGCCATTGGTCAGGTTCCATCACATGTGTTAGGAACATGTGATATATAAGAATTTATATCAACTTACCACTGAACCAGAGAAGCAGGCCTATTTAATACTTTGAGCATGTAGAATAATAAAAAGGAAAAGTAAAACGTCAGAATTGGTGCATCTCAGATGTCAGAGTGTAGTAAGAAGTGTGGATGTTAGAGGTTGCAGAGCTGTTGTGGGAGAAGAATAAAAACCACCATAGACGAGACTTGGATGCTGAACAACTCCAGGAGAAAGCAATAAAAAATGTAATGTCTGAAGTAATGGAGAAGTGAAACGAGCAGCTATTCGGTGAGTGCCTCCTAGGGACCCAGTTATTTACTTCTCAAAATAGTGTTTTAGGAGGACATTTTTTTTGTGATCATGGGTGGAGGGGTAGAGAGGTCAGATCAAACCTAGTGTGTAAGACATTGTTCTTTAATACACTAAACTGTAATACTAGAAACTATAATTTGAGATGTTATAGTAACAAAAGCCTTCAGAGACTTTGAACATACAAGGTAGTTATAAAATTATTTGTTCTCCTGCCTTTAGCGTGGTTTAGAGTTCAATATCCACACATAGCTTTTGAACACTTGAAATATGCCTAGTCACATGTTGAGATTATAATATTTTGGATATATTGGTTAAATAAAATATATTATTAAAATTAATTTCCCGTTTCTTTTTATTTTTTAAAATGCAGCTACTAAAAAATGTTAAATTACAGATGGTTTACATTATATTTCTGTCAAACAATGCAGGTTTTGACTAATGCCCACATTGTGCATGGATTGGCATTACCTTGTAAAAGAACTCCAGGTCATACCATATTCAGAGACTTGGTCTTTCCTGATGACCACAGAGTCCTGCCCAGGATGCCCCAAGCCTTAAAGGTCTTCCTAACCCCCTGGCTGCTGCTCTGTCTGTTTCTCACCACCCTCTAACCTATTCCTCTCTTCAGCCAAAATGTACCTCAGAGCCTGGTCTTTGCCCTGATAATTCAAGACAATTGATTCTTGATGATCTTTGTGCTTGGTTCCTGTTCTTAGCCTGCATGTCTATCGGGAGCCTGAGTTCTTATGTATTTTCTGCCCTAGGTGCAGTCTTGACCCTGCCCTGCTTTGTTTTTACTAGGTCTGCGTTTGTAAAATGCCATACGTATTATAGAACAGTAGTTTGTCAACTGGCTCTAGACTCTCAATAATTCTAATATGGATTAGCTACTTCCCAGGACATAAGCCCCGACATCTGCCTCCAACACACCACAGCTCTGCCTTATTCAACTAAATCTAGGTACCTATATGTGTACGCTGAACCTTGAATCTTTATCAAGTTGTCTTCAAATGTTGATTTTCTTTCCCCAGGAGACTTGTTTACCAAGACCCAATCCTAGTATTCTGGTAGTCCTGACAGTGATGTTTTAAGTGTAAATGATCAAATTGACTCTCTGCCATATGAGTTATGAGTTTTATTACTGTAAATCAGTACGCCAGAGTCTCACTGCTCACCTAAGGATGACTTGATAACACTGGCCAGAAATATAAACAAAGCTCAAAATAATGGATTTCTTGGTAG